TCCTGTAAGATTTTCCTTATTCCTACAAGACTTTTTAAGTATTTTTTCCAGTAAATGAGATTATAAGATAGAATTGTTTTTAAAACTAGGTTATTTAAATGAAAGGAGAAAAAAAGTTACTCATACAGAGTCTTTCTGTGCATGGTCTGTTTCTGCCTTTCGTGCATTCTGAGATAGTCCAATAGTTAGCATTTAATTATGGAAATATCGTTTTAGCAGGTGTGAATTCACTTCATAGTTGACATCTTTAATATTTGATTCATTTGTTCATCTGTTAGGAACATTAATCAAAAATTTAATAGAAGACAAATTGATTTATAGTAAAATTATAGTATGTCAGGTATTGAGCCCATAACTCTAATGTATATGGTTTTCATATAGTAAATGTATTTTATAAAGCTTTGCAGTAAAGATGTTTAAAAATAATTGTTAGAAATATGTTTTAAAAATCAATGGAGTTTAATTTAAAAGTTTAGGTGAACTTTATAAGTAATATTGGCACATTCATATTTTTGTTCAAAAATTTAACAGTTGAATCCTCATGAAAACTTTTACAGACAGTAACATGCTGAACCATTTTTTTTTGTTCTAATACTAGCAGCAAAAGATATTTATAGGCTGCTTTCACAGGTCTTCCCATGTTTTAGGCTCAGTTTAGATAACTAGAAACCAAGAAAAATACTCTATCAGTGTGAATTCGTACAGTGCATGTATTAGACAATAAACAGGATCACTTCGTGTAGAAAGGCTGAGCTGGAAAGAGTAAGCTGAGAGGGAATGAGAGCATATTTTCTAGATCCCTAATATCCAGAGAGACTAAATATTAAATATATCTAAATATCTAGCTAGATACTTTCTAGACAGTCTAATTACTTCAGTACAGGCTGGAACTTGGGGTATATAGAATGGAAAGGAAGGCTAAGGTCCAAAAGCCAAGAATCTGGTAAGAAATGAAGACTGTAGAGAAAAATTACTATCAAGCTATGATGCAGTAATGCAAAAATGTATATTTTCAATAATTAATTAATACTTAATCTACGTTCAATTAAGTGTTAATAATATATAACTAATATATTTATGTTATGCATACATATATATTCTTTGCTGTACACATGTTCTTTAGACAGAAAAAATTACCAAAAGATTATTTTCAGTACTTTTTTCTTTAGTATGCAGAGATTTAAAAGACTCAAACTAAGCACTTAAATGTTAGTTTGAGCCAATTATTACTTTTCACATTATGTGAAAGATCTCACTTCAGGGAACTTGAATTTTAGGAAGACTAAAAAGTCTATTTTCCTCATACCTACCTAACCATAGGTACAGTTTGTTTTAACATTGTACAGTTTGTTTTAAAAAAGAGGAATGGAACATGCAATTGCATATACGACATAATAAAACAATTAAAAAAAAGGTAAGTGGGAATGAATAAACTAAGAAACCAAGATTTAGATTCAATAAAGTATCATCACTTTACTTAAGTTATTTCTACAATCCATATTACTAATTTCTTCTTTAAAATTATTTTTATTATTTCATATGGTAGAAGTCATTAGAATCAAATTATTTAAAGTCCTGTTTTTAGCCAGATAATAGAATGGCTTGGAAAGACTAATATTTGGTTTATTCTTTTGTTTTCAAGTATGTTAGGATTATTTGCAAAGTGACTATTTGAAGCCCCTGCTAAAATCAAACTATACAATTACATACTGTACCTTTGTGTAATGCAAGCAAACAGAAATAGTTTTTGTCTTACAATTAGTTAAGATCAAACAAAGAAAAAAATCAGACAGTATTTCAAACAAAAACAATAAATATTTCATAATACATTAATATGAAACTGTCATATCATACTTCAAAACTTCATCCAATTTATTTTGCTGCAGTATCATTGTTAATTATTGATTTAAAAAAACTATTTTTTAAAAAAATTTTATTTAAAAGGAAAAGAGAGAAAACAAAACAAAACAAAGCAGTGTAAGGGTACAATTAATACAGAACTACAAAAAAAAAATACAGTAAGAAATCACCAGTTAATAGATTACAATTATCATCCTAGAGACAGTTGCTCAAATCACAGTATCAAAGCATACAGAGTGGACATTCAAACAGTAACACTGCAAACAGTTGTGTTCAATGATCCAACCAAAAACATTAATAAGGGCATCTATTTAACACCCCTAAACACACTTGTAGTTGTATACTTTAGAGCACTTTTTTTTTCCTCTCTTTTTTACAACAAAATTTACACATTTTGGGTTTATTATTCCTTAGTTCTTATTACTTTTTTTTTGGAAGAGAATAAAGTCAAATATGGCAAAACAAAGCTGTCAGTCAAAACCAAGAATAGACATAGCACATGATGTAAAATCAGAGTACAAGGTTATTGAAAATGGTTACCATAATGCCTCTTGCTTCCTTAAAAAGAATTGTCTATCACATTAGGTATTAGAAGGTTGAACAAAACAGTAGAGAACAAGACCAATAGAACCTAAACCTTAATAAACACTACAGGACTTCCAAAGAAGATAATAGTCAAGCCAGAAGGGGCATCATAGTGAATCTTATTGCCTTCAAAGTAGTTGCCTATAACCTCAAAATTGATACTATCATACAGAGCGGAACAGAGTCTAATCAGTCAAAACAAGATAGTGGGAGTATTACAGAACTTCAAATTAAGCTAACAGGAAATCAAAAAAGTTACTATAATATATCCTGCTAATTTTTTTGATTTTTCCCTTTCATTGAAAAAATCATAAAAAAACTAAATAATTTTTTTAATGAATAAGGAAGAGATTGAGATAAAAGAGGACTTAACATCATAACAGTACAGGTCAAAGCATGACAGTTTCAGCAACCTAGTGCTTCACCACCAAATAACCCGGTTTAATAGTAGTTACCATAGTGTCTTTTCCCTTGAAATATCTGAACATAACTTCATATACTATAGCTTCAAACATATCAAGTCAGTGTAAAACCATTCAAGTGGATGAAAGCATTGTAGGGAAAAACTATTTTTAATATCGCAATGCTACTGGTAAGCTATAGTGATAGTGTCAATGATAGACTATATTTGGAAATCAAAGTAGATAAAATATTTTTGGATCGTATATCTAGGGAGATTCAGCATAGTTTGTACATCTCTGGAGATCATTTTTCTAATTAGAGTTTGGTTGGATTTATTGTTTAGATTTATTAGTAAATCCTAGATTATATATTATATCCAAAACATACATTATTTTGCGAGAACATGTCTATACCATCCTGAAGGCAATGTTCCACATCTATGAATAGGATTTAGCATACAAAATGAATGAAATAGGAATATAGAATTTGAGCACATCAGTTTCTGTGCAGTAAAACATGATTTACCATAAATGGCCATAAACTCCTAATTACTGTGTCTACTATAGAGTATATAAAAGTGCTTAAATAGTTGGTTTAATATTGAAGATGAGACTTGAAATAATTTGATTTTCTTTCCTATATTTGAACCTGCTGTAGGTTATTTATATTTTCTTACATGAAATATGATCATAAAATATGATCAATGGTAACATTTTTACAATTGTTACAATAAAATACATTGCAATTAGTTTTCCTCAAAAGTATCCCTCTCTGCACTTCAAACACACTTAATCCCAATGTTCTCGTCATTTTCTGCAAGAATCCTGCAAGTCCTCTTAGGTGTTATCAGTTGTGCTATTTCAGATACCTCAGTGTCCAGAATCACTTGAAAATATTTACTTTTCAGTGCTATTTTGATTTGAGGGAAGACCATGAAGTCATATGGTGCTGCATACAGGAAGGTTTATGAAAACACATTTCAGTGGCTTTTGGGTAGGCTTTTATTTATTTATTTATTTATTTATTTATTTATTTATTTTGGCAGGAGGGAGACACTTGGCAACAGAACTCACTGTATTTTCCATCATATGTTGTACAGGCGCTTGTGAAAGACTTTTAGAATAGTTTCAGAAAGTGACAAGAAAAATAGAGTAAGGTTGTTGTAAGCTAATAGGAGTACTTGGAGGGGGACTGATAGCAATGTAGTTTTTACTATAATAAATATTTTTAATTTAAACATTGACCATGTATTTTGATTATCCTTTGTAATCACATTTTTAAGACTATTAAACATTTTGCAGTCATTCACATAATATGCTTTTTTAATGTTTGTAAAACTTCCCTTTTCTAATCAATGTATCTCCTATAAAAGCCATGAAAATTTGAAAATCAGTCATATTTATGCAAATTGATCCAATCTTTGTACCATTCCACAAACCAGAATGTTTAGACAATGTTATATTTGAGGGATGTTTATGTTTTATACTGGATTTTTAATTTCCCATTTCTTGTGCTTCTTTCAATGTGTGTATTCATTGTGTTAAAAATCTTATTTCATTTTGGAAGTGGATAGCAGTGTTCTTTTCATTGACAAAAGTTAAGGCATATATTTTAATCGCAATATCTAATTTTTGAGTTAATCTCATGTCAAGAGGAAAAGCTGTATAGTTCACTGATAGTGGTGAAGTAGCTGGCGGCTTTCACATAAATAACAACAAATGTGCACAATAGTTATATTACATGGCATATTAAACAACACTGCTAAAGTTAAGACAGGGCTCATTTTTTTCTTGATGGAGATACACCTGAGTGCATTCAGTGAAAATTTGATTCTGCAAGTGTGGAGGAAGTAATTGTCATTCAACAGAAATAAACTGGCTTTGCATATCAGTAAAACACACACACACCTACTCTTATCTACTTTCCTAGTGCTTGGGAACCGATATCAAAATAGCAAATATTTATTTATGAGAACTAAAAATGCTGTATTCTTCTCTATCGTATAACCCCAATTTAATTATGAAATTAACTTTGAGAATATTCTTAGTAAGTGAAAATATAAACTGCAATCTTTGTAGCAAGCTCTGTATTTTTATATACACATTTTCCTCCAAAATGCTATGTCATTAACTTTTTTTATTATTTATTTTTAGATGGAAGACTGTATTTGAAAACTACTGTCATGTACTGAATCTTTCCTGTTGAAGAAAGCCCATGTCATAGTAGAGAATTTGCAGTCAGACATTCACCATTGAAAAATTTGGAGAAAAGATAAAAGTCCTTTCAAGGGAACTTCCTCAACTTTGTGTATTAAATTTCTTTAACACTGAAGTATTCTACAAAAAAAAAAAAAAGTTCCTCCATTGATTTTCACCAAGAGACCTGAGAATGTTTATAAATATACAAGTATCAAAACTTCTTACAGTTCATAACTGCAACTTTCTGCTGGACACTTGTATACAAAGTTAAAGGCAGGTCTGAAAATGGACCTGGCTTTTTTTTTTAATGGAATGAACCAATTTCCTCTTCTGAAAATTCTGTATCTGAGCACATCAAGAGACTCTTGTAACGTTAATTATCCAGACTTACAGAACCATGTCCCACTGAAACCAGCAAGAATGCATGGAAATGAACTTCTAAGGGGGCATAGAGGATTGTGAAAAAAAAAAAAAATAAAGAGTAGTATTCTGTTACATTCAGTTTTAAACTCTTAATTGCGAGTTTTTCTCCAGAAAATTTTTTTCACATACTTTCCAAAAGACCAACAAGTGGATATTGACATCAACCCAATGAAATAACACGTTGCATATCTGAAAAGAAGCATTGAATATAAGCCAAAAGGTTTCGCTGAAGGTCTCTTTTTCTTAAAAATAAAATATATAAATATATATATAAATGTAACATTTTCATTCCAAACTGGTAGTGGTATATAGAATTTAAAATAATAATGTTGCTTCTTATTCAAACTGTTGGTCACATGTACAGTATATAAACATAAAACACAAGGAAGGTATTATGTATGCAGTAGTATACTAGAATTTAGGAAAATGAAAATTTTAGAAAATATGTTTTGTCACCCTGTTGGTCAGAAAGATGTCTTTCTGGTTTTAACGCATGCAGGCATGTAAATATTTGTCTGAAGTCACAGTATTAATGAATGAGACTTAAGTATCTGGTGACATCAGAACTCTGTCTCAGCCACTTTTATTTGTATATTGAACCCTAGTTAGTGCCCCAAACTGCACTATTGAGAATGGATTGTGGCTGAACAGTAAATCAAAACACCAGAAATATTTTTATATGTTAATGTCATATTATGTTAATGTTGCTAAACAACAAAACCTAACAAATCCTTGATGTATCAGTCCAATACCATGTAGCCCTGAGTGATAAAGTTAAAATGTGTTGTGCTTCCCACCCTGATCAGAGGGAAGGGTGGCTATGTGTTATTTTCACTGTCTTTATGAAAGTTACAGTATGTGTTTTCACTTTTGTGCAGATAACTGGAAGTAAAGCTGCAAACAGTGCTTATTACATGGTGAAGTTACCTTCCCTTTGCTTTTATATACGTGGAATTACACCTTTAAAGACTGATATATCACTACAGCCACTGTACAATTCATTATTTTCTGTCATCTTAAAATTTTATAATTAAAGCATTATTTATTACCATAACACAGCAAAATCTTAAGTGTCTAAGAAATTAGTTTAAAATGTTTAAGTTAGTTTTGATTGGGTAATAATTATTTGGCTTTAAAAAGTTAACATTAGTGATACTCTGGCACTAAGCTTCTATATTTTTAGGTCTTCCTCATACTGCTGAAACATAATTCTTTTATGTAACTCGCTATTAACCGGCTAAACCCATTTTAATACAATTGAAAGGTTATATGTACAGCTCCTATTTTAGCTTGCTTTAAAAGGGGGCAATATTTTTTATTTAAGATATTGTTAGTAAATGCTTTGTAGAAATTTGGTTTTCTAAGCATAGCTTTTCCATAACCATCTTTTGTTGAGTACAAGAGATTCTGCTCCTCCTACATTGTGTGTTTGTTGTTTTCTCCTATATGCAGTCTTTAAAGGATTACAACGTTTAAAATTGGATTGACTTGTGGCAAGATTTTGAATTATGCATCTTTGGAAAGATTTTTTAAAAAGCCTACGACTTACATGTGTGGTAGAACCAGCCATTGCTCTGCTCCTGGCATAGAGTCACCTGTTAAGTAGGGTTAAATAGTTTAAAAATACATCTTTCAAGACCTTTGAGAATGCGTTAGTGTTTGGTTTGATATGAAAGGAAATTTTAGCAAGGATTAAAGAAAAAGCTATCAGTTTTATGTTGAGAAAGACTCTTACTAACATGTTTGTAAATATTACAGCTCATGAAATGTTAATGTAAGTCTGTAACTTAATTTTTTTCCTTTTTTAGTTAAACAGATTGGTTAGAAATTTGTGTTTTGGCATAAACAAGTAAAATTGTGCCCATTTTATGGTTTTCATGCTTTTGTAAACCTACAAATATTAATGTCTAGTTGTCCTATATTATAACCACATTTGCGCTCTATGCAAGCCCCTGGAACAGAACGTACTCATCTTCATGTAGGACCTATGAAAATTGTCTATTTTTATCTATATATTTAAAGTTTTCTAAAAATGATAAAAAGGTTATTACGAATTTTGTTGTACAAAACCTGTACAAAAATCTGTTTTTACATCATAATGCAAGAATTGGAAATTTTTCTATGGTAGCCTAGTTATTTGAGCCTGGTTTCAATGTGAGAACCACGTTTACTGGTATTGTATTTAATTTTCCTTTTCTTTCAACAACCTCCTAATAAAAATGTCTGAAATCTGCCTGTGACTTTATTTACAGTTCATCTTTATTAAATTTTGTGAAATGCATAGCATTGAAGGAATATTTACTTTCTAATGGGAGGCATCTAAAAACAACATAAGTCAGCTCTTTGCAATGCAAAGGGAACAATGCTCAATGATTTTATTTAACGTGCAACTGCTTCTATCTCTAATATGAATTACTGTGGTGAGAAAACATCATAAAAGCACACTCTGTAGTTATTGTTTAACAAGCAGATTTCCATATTTTGTTTCTTGCCAGCTAAGCAAACTGCCCACATATACATGATTTATTTATGTACATTTCTCAGTTTAGGAAGCTGTTATTTGTACCTTTTTCTTTTATATTCTTATATTCCCATGATTCTTATTTCACAAAGCTTTGTGCTGAATAATGTAAAGTAGACACGTTGATGGAACAAAATATATTACTCCCATATCTATGAGTGTAGCTTTGTAACTCTAGCTCAGTGTTTTGCTTTCATTTGTATCATTGGAAAAATGCCCTTAATAACTTTGATATTACGATATCTTTTAATAATATATAAACATTTTAATCAATCTAAAGTGCAGCATTTGAAGAAATACTGGGTTGCTATCTCTGTGAATATTCTAAAAATTCTCAAGAGAACGGAAAATGGATTTTTCTGTTGAATTAATTCAATGAATTCTTGAATATATTTAACAAATTATGATTTTTATCTAATAAATCCTAAAATGTTTATGTGATCATTACAAAAACATTTTTGTCTTTTGTCATTATGTGTTTATTTCGGCAAGACTTATATCAGAACACCATGAAACCTCTGTATGTTAGTGGAATTTGGTGGTTATTTAATTTTTTTACCCCCTGTGTTTTCACTGGAATCAGGAAATTTACAGTATGTACAAAACCCATTTATTGCTGAAAGAGAGTATCTCACATTTATAAATTATATGAATTGCATTTTTAAACATAAAAAGTGACACGTTAATAGATAGAATCAAGACATTATTGTAAACAGCAACATAAAAATATGTTTTCCTGTGCAGGCTTGCAGCTGACATTTATCTTTAGTATGTATAACTAGTATATAAAAGCTGAATTCATCCTCATTTGTTAATTTAAACAAATTCATTAATAAACTGCTATGCTGCACTGGAAGCCTGAAGCTGGAAACAGTTGTCCCAGAGAAGCTTATAATTTTGTTGAATAGAGCGTCTAGCTTACAGGAAGATTCCCTGACCATCACTAACACTCTAGGAGACACAGAACTGGCATTAAGAGGTGATTGCCTTAGATTCCTTTCTGTACAGTAGTAACTGATTTAAGGTAAGTAGCCTGTTCACAGACAAAACTAATATCCACAAACAAATTCCTGATATATTCACATTATTGACTATTGTGTCAATATTTAATCCTTATCACTCTGCATAGCCTTGAGGTTAAATAATGGCAAGATATTTCAAACACAGAATTTAAATTCCTAAATGCCAGATGAGTGCTATAGTAATGAGCGAAATTAGTGGTGGAAACACCATTTATTCTGAGAGATGAATGAACTGGAGATTTTGAGTTGAAGAGTTGGATCACCTAGGACTCCTGGCTGCTGTAACAAAAATGATTTCCTTCAAGGCTTAAAAGACAAAAGGAATAAGTTAGAAATAAAGAAAGAAGCATACATGAGACCTCACGTCTGAAAGGTCACTACCCGCCGGATCCACGCACCCTCCCCTGCTGTTACCTTTCTGCTCATCTCAGTTGCTCTGATGCTTTCTGGCCTCATTTCCGACATGCTTGCTTCTCTTCTCCATCTCTGGACTGTGTTATTCAGAAGCATAAGACCAGCTCACAAAAGTAAACAAATATTTTCCCTCATATCCTTGTCCTAAGTTAGATTCCTTGAGAGCCCTGACACTCACATCACAGGACATCACTGTGGGATATTTTGGCAATGCATTAAATATATTTAAGAAATTTTAGGAAATACTGTGTCCAGCTAAATTTGAACCTCAGGTGTTCTAACAAGTACCTAAAGTTGAGCACTATCACATGGGAATGAAAGTATCACATGACAGAACGGGATTAGGGGAATTTCTGCTGTGAAGCACAATGGTGACTGAAGGTGAGTTAGGACCACTGTGATCTGTAAAACACAACAATAGTCAACTAATAACTGTCAAATAGTTTTGAAAAGTAACTTGTTGCATTGTGAACTTAACTCTAAATTGAATATAAATTTTACTGCTCAGTTGCAATGGAAGTCTCCTGATTGTTTTCTAAATAACTTTATAGACAAATATGACCATAGCACTGACTGTACAAGGAGGTGAAAATGCAATGTGTCTTTACTGAGGCTTTCTCCCTTCTGTCACAATCATTTCCTTCAGCCTGTACCATTTAAAGAGCACCCTCACTTTTTCATGCCAAGGAGCTGGCCTCTGAAAAGCAACCCTGAGTGTTTCTTTTCAGAAAGCCTCCAGCTTGTAAAGCAAAACTTGCACTCTAAAGTGGTTCTCGAAAGATAAAAGGAACATTTTAGTGAATTACACTAATAGGGAAGTGTAAATTTCAGTAAAAGGAGATAACGTTTCTATACTTGCATTGGTCAAGTGTTGTTCAACATAGGTAGATAGAATATTTGCAAATGCAATGCAGAATGTAAAGCAAACATTAAAAATGCTTTGTTAATGTGTACATTAATAACCACCATAGATCCATCCAAAGAGAATGTGGTGTTTTGCACTGAGGTCAGTTTCTAGATAACAGTAATTACTACTCATAATTAACACAGAATTTGTTTTTTTTGTTTTTTTGTTTTTTTTTTACTCTTCTCCAATCTTCTCTTGGGTACTTTGGTTGCTCTTTCAACAACACCAAATGCTGTATATTGCATTAGTCAATAAATGAAAATACATTACTTGACACATCTATAGAAATATGTATCAGTATTCCTATTTAGTATACTTACTAACATCAAAAAACATATCTAAAATTGATATTGTAAAAGAAATGACTAAAATTGTTCATAGCTAGCTATTAAAATAAACAACTTAAAAGTTCTATTCTTGATGTTTTTGGCAAGAGGGAGAGCTGGGAGATAACGTAGAACCCAGTCAACTTAGGTTACTAACTCATCTTGGCAAATTCATACAGACAAAGTTTCTTTCATTAAGTTAGATGTTTCAGATTACTCTATCTGATTTTTATGTTCTTGAACTCATTGATGCTGAATGATTTGTGGCTCTCTTTGTTAATATATTATGGCACTTTTTAATACATGCTTTATGTATGCCTTTTCTTTTCCCACAGAGACAGCAGGCATATATCAGGACCTAAGTACTAATGAGCAAAGGAACTTTGGAGATGAAGTACCTGCAGTACAGAATGGAACAGGGCAAGAACAAAGAAGATACCCTGCAAACAAAAAGGGATATTATCCAAAATTACATTGTATCTTAGCAGAAAGATAAGGGGAACATTCATAATTCAATGCAAAACATAACTTAGCATCTAGAGCCAACAGTGACATAGAATTGACCATCAGCCCGCTTGAAATGTACCCCTTGCCCAGGAATCTTTCCCCTTTAGTTGCCTAGATGGAGCTCGTTATAAAACCAACCTGTCTATTTTTCTTTTATCTGATGACTATTCAGTATTAGACCTAATCAACACGGCTCATTCATGCATCTATGTCACATGCACCCGTAGCAAACATCTAGAGATATTGGTGCATTCTCCCTATGCAACAAGGGAGAATGTCTCTATATGTTTGTTAGAAAAATACTCTCTTCCCATGAACAACTGAGGTGATAGAGATAGACACTAGCCTTCTTCAGATATTCGTATTCCTGTTAAACTCTAGTAACCAAAAACAAGCTTCTTCAGTGATTGTGTGGAGATATTTTTCTAGATGTTAAAAGAAAGACAGACATTTGTACCATCTCATGGGCATTTAGAAGACTTGGAACTGAAGAAATCAACCCCTTGCCTCTATCAACTCTTTGTCTCTAGTTCTTTACCTTGTATCTTACACCTGTTTTACAATTCCTAGTAGGTTGTAAAACTGAATTTACAATAATAGGTTCCAAATATGTTTCACTTCTACATAATGACCTTATATCACACCTTGAGATGTGATGCCTGTTTTTCTTATTTATTAACTTTTTAAAATATTTTAAAATTTAGAGATAATTCCATATTGTAAGCATATATAAGAAATAATACAAAACCTCCTATGAACTCTTCATTTTAAATTCATGGTAACAACTTGAATAAATACAATATAGTATGACAAACAAAAATTTTATGTTCATAACGTTTAGTCTTTTAGATTTCACCTGTTTCACATATGTTCATTTCCATGCATGTTTGGTTCTGTAAAACTTTATCACATATGTAGATTCATGTTGCCACTGCTAGTCAAGGTCTGGAACAATTTCATCACAAAGATCCCCCATGTCATATTTTCATGACCACAACCAACAATCTCTCTCCCTTCCTTCCTAAACATTACAACATTGTTAGGTATATAATCTGTTTGTCCATCGTGAAAATGTCATTTCAAATAAGCTATTTAAATGGAGTCACGTGGTATGAAACCTTCTGAGGTTGTCTTTTGTCCTGCAATGCAATCTCCTTGAGATTTGAGCAAGTTATTGCACAGATCGCTAGTTCATTCCTTTTAATAAATGAATATTCTTCCATAGGTACAATTCTATCATATTCTACTTGTCATTTACCTTCTAAAAGACATCTGGACTGCTTATAGTTTGTTGTTAATATAAGTAAAGCTTCTATGTGCATTCACATAAATATTTGCATTATGAATTTGAGTTTTCAGTTTTCTACTTTCCCAAGGGCATAATTCCTAAAACATATCTTAATCACATATTTAGTTAGAACCCATCATGTTCTTCCAGAGTATGGCTACATGTTCCCAATGGCAGTGAGCCAGGGCATACAGAATCTCAGCTCTTTTCTTTGCCTGCTGACTCATGGCAGAGGAAGGAGGGAATCT